TTTTTTTTTTCAACATTTATTTATTTTTGGGACAGAGAGAGACAGAGCATGAATGGGGGAGGGGCAGAGAGAGAGGGAGACACAGAATCGGAAACAGGCTCCAGGCTCTGAGCCATCAGCCCAGAGCCCGACGCGGGGCTCGAACTCACGGACCGCGAGATCGTGACCTGGCTGAAGTCGGACGCTCAACCGACGGCGCCACCCAGGCGCCCCTCAAGTACCTAGGTTTTAAACAACAACCTTCGGCACGCCTGAGTGGCTCTGTCGGTTGAGCGTCCAACTTCAGCTCAGGTCGTGATCTCGCGGTCTGTGAGTCTGAGCCCCACATCAGGCTCTGTGCTGTCAGCGCAGAGCCCGCTTCGGATGCTCTGTCCCCCTCTCTCTGCCCCTCCCCTGCTCTTGTGCACACACACGCATGCTCTCTCGTGCTCTCTCTCCCTTTCAAAAATAAACATTAAAAAAAAAAAAAAAAAGAGCAACCTTCGACACTTGATGCCTGGGAGAGATTCTCCCAGGTTGTTGATACTCCTTCCCTTCTATTTCTCTCACCCTGACTTCTTGGCCTGTTATTCTAGCCCCATCCCCTCTGAGCCTTGGTTTTCTCACCTATGAAACGGCAACAGTTAAGACTCAGTTGAAGACAGGTGGGCAGATTCGCAAAGATTTAAGCGAACTATCTAGTACCAAGCCTAGCACATGGTAAGCCTTCAGAAATTAATGGGTTCTCTCCTCTCTCACTTCTGGAGAGCAGGTCCACTGAGCTGGATCACATCCGTTTCCCACGAGTCCTTGAACTTGTGGGCTGGTTTAGAAGGAAAGTTAACCCCGGTGAGGGACTCTTGTTGGGTCAGAAGCCAGGCCCCATCCTGACTGAAGACTGTCCCACTCGGGACCCACAGTGAAAAGAGTGTGTGAGGCCACGACTCACCCTGGTGCTCGAGCTCCCCAAGGACAAGATACATGGAGTCCACTTGGGCTTGGAACGGCTCCACCAACTTGGTACACACCAGGACCTGGTGCTCGTCAGATCCATGCTGAGCCCTCAGGGTGACTCGGGACTGAGTCATGTCATAGAGGCACAACCTGCAGGTCAGGAAAAGCGTGATCATTTGTATCCACACACAGAACAAACACTAAAAGCTCAAGAGGTTCCGGGAGCCCCATAAATCCAGGGGACTCTGGTCAGAGATATAAAAATGGCAGCAACAAGTCGGAAAATTGTTTTCAGTCTACATTGTTAAGATACAAATTCTATGCATTAAAAGGCATTTGTTTAAAGAGTGTTGACAAAAGTATACACTTATATAACCACCACCCCAATTAAGATTCGCCACATTTCAGGGTGCTTTGGCACATTTCTATCACCCCCAAAAGTTCCCTTGTGCCACTCTGAAATCAATCTCCCCATCTCCCATCCCAGGCAACCCACTGATCTGCTTTTGGTCTCTACAGATGAATTTTTCTACTCAAGCACCTCATATAAATAGAATCAGAACAATATGTATTCTTTTGTGTCTAGCTTCTTTCGGTCAGCATAATGGTTTTGAGATTCATTTATGCCGTTGGGTAAATCAGTGGTTTATTCCTTTTATTGCTCAGTAGGACACCATTGAAATTATTAAAAATAATTTGTTTGGGGTGCCTGGGTGGCTCAGTCAATTGAGCGTCGAACTCTTGATTTCAGCTCAGGTCATGATCCCTGGGTCATGTGGAGCCTGCTTAAGATTCTCTCTCTCTCTCTCTCTCTGCCCTTCTCCCACTTGCACGCATATGCGTTCTCTCCCTCCCTCTCTTAAAAAAAATAAAAGTGTAGGGGCACCTGGGCGGCTCAGTTGGTTAAGTGTCTGACTTCGGCTCAGGTCATGATCTGGCAAGCCTCATGGGTTCAAGCCCCGCATCGGGCTCTGTGCTGACAGCTCAGAGCCTGGATCCTGCTTCAGATTCTGTGTCTCCCTCTCTCTGCCCCTCCCCTACTTGTGCTCTGTGTCTCTC